TATGAAGGCTTTGACACGGGAGAATTCGACAACGTAACATTGGAAACTCCGATTTACGAAGGTTGACGGAAGCGGGGCTATGTCTTGGCAAAGATGTTAAATAAATGCATTGTAAATAAATAATCTACGATTGAAGTTTTGATGTTTCTAGGCTTGAAGTTGGTCAAAAATAAGCATCTTGAGGTTTAGCAATGATCTTAGTAAAGTATGGAAGAAAAACCGGAGCTTGTGGAGCGAAAAATTGCAAAAAATGTCAAAATCTGCAACTTGCGCGGGTACCCGCATAAACGTTGCGCGACTCAACCCTACCCGCGCAAAATCCAAGCTCAAATTACCCCCACACGAGTTGCATTTTGATGTATGCGCGCGGCTGCCCCCCACCCGCACAATGTTTGCGAGGGTACCCGCGCAAATATGCCACTTCATAAGAAAATTTCGAGAAATTTCATATGCTTCCTTCGTGCGACTAAGCTTTCATCCATGTGTATCTAGGCGGCCAAGAAATCCACCCACACATCATTGTACGACCCATGTGTTGCTTCTGTACCGTCCTCGAGGGCCTCCTCCACCTTGATCCCGGTACGATCCTTCCTTACTCTCATCCTAAGCATTGAGGACAATGCTTAATTTTAAGCTTGAGGTGAGGTATTCTTATATTTTATTTTTTATTGCATTTAGGTTGTATATTGTTGCATTTAGAGTAACTCATTTAGGACATTCATAAAATTACAAAAAAAAATCCAAAAATATTGCATATTTTATGTCTTTCTTTTCTAATTTTCATACTTTTTAGATGCATCCTAGTTTAAGTTCATGTATTTTTGTTCTCTCTTGTCTTCTCATCCCTACAGGTATCAGAGCACTGAGTCATAAGTATTGAATCATAGATTGGTCCCGGGTCTTGATATGGAATTCCTTGTATTTGATAAATGGGACACGTTTTGAGCCTCACAGACCATTTTAAGACCGCTTGTGTGGGGGTCGGATGCAGGTAGCTTGATTGGGTCTAGGTGCGGAGGGATGTGGTTGGTCATGCCAATGTGTGCGAGCAAAGATTAGCCCGGTAAGGTATTGTGAAGACATTGAAGATATTGAAGACTCGCATCTTGGTTTTGGGGGGGAGTACCCCTTAGTACTCCTGAGTCTCGTCCGAGCCTTACTTAGCTAGATTCTCACCACCTTTTTAAGATAGGTTATCATTTTTCTAGGGGTCTAGAGTAGATAGTTAGATATATTTTGTTTATCACACCTTGCATTGAGGTGCTTGATGAACTTTGAAGTGGGTCCCCCAATTCACATATTTTGGGACCAAGTTTTTTCGGTAACACCCATTTTAGAGTCATATCCCATCCTTTTTAATAGATCTTGGCATATTGTCAATGATCATTAGGTGTTCATGTTAGCCTCTATCTATTACTCCATCTTCACTATTGGAGTACTATGTTACATGGTGAAATTCCTTAGACCTTCAAAGAAGTGAAGACAAAATGAAACAATGAAGAAGATTAAAGAAAAGCAACAAAAACAAAGAAGAAAATGAAGAAAAAGAGCAACACAAAAAGAAGAACAAGATCCAAGTTCAGGACTTTCTTTCAAAAAAAAGAAAAAAGAAATAAGGAGACTGAATATCAAAAAAAAAAAGAGGCTGAAGACCAAATAACAGAAGTTCAAGATTGAAGATTTAAGCTGTTAGGTTTAGATTTAGGTTAAGTAGATTTTTTATTTTATTTTATTTTATTTTTTGATTTTTGGTAAGAAAAGGCCTTGACGATGAGACGGTAAACTGTAAAGGACAGTACAAGGGAGAAACCTCTGAAACCGGATGTTTGCCCGGAGGCCGCGCTGCAAAACCCTATTTCGTACTATACACTTTAGCCTGACAAATGTAGGAATCATAGTGTGTGAAGAGGCGCCTTTCCTTCGTGCACTATGGTATACATTGGTGATTTAAAGTGCCCCCACTGGGCGCATCTCTGTTTCCTTTGTCTTGCACACCGCGACTACATCCAGCCGTGATCTATTCGCCCATCAAGTGGTTGAGAATGTGGTTTATGGCTCTAAAGCGGGGAACATTTTGAAGATGCGTAGGGTCCATAAAGGACTAATTCTGACCATGTTGACTGATGTTGACCAAGTTCTATGTTACCTTTCTTTTTCCTTTTTAGTTTAGCTCATTCCGAGTTCATTTTAGTCTTGTTCTAACTTGAGGACAAGTTAGGTTTAAGCTTGGGGTGATTTGATAGCTTATTTTATTTCCTTATTTTTATTAGTTTATTTTAGTTTTTTAGATTTTTTTGTCATTATTGCATTGTATTTTATTTATTTTCTTTAGTATGGATCGTGTCGGGTGCTTTTCATGGTGCATGAGGTATTTTGCAGGGTTTTGGAGCTTATCGCGATTGTGGATTAGAGTGAAGATGGACTTGTAGGCTCTCGAGGCGCTATTGGGCTTGGCGGATCCATAAAAGAAGACTTGGGCCTTAAAGAGTTGAAGACTTGGATATTTTGGACTTGTGAAGATGGGTCATAAACTTCTATTTTTGGGCGTGAAGCATCCATTTTTGTAGCTAAATGATGATTGGTTGGTTTAAATCACATGGATATGGAGGGGACCAAAGGAATCTTTGGTAGTAGAAGGGTGGAGTGGAGGAATGAAGGACCAATAGCATTACAACAACATTTGCGCGAGTGAAATTTTCGTCGCGCGGGTACCCGCACAACCGCCCAGTTTGGGTATTTTGGTCATTTGGCACACCATAACCTTGGGGGATCAGATCTAGCAGCCATACTCTTGATTTTACACCATTGGAGAGCTGAAAAAAGAGATTTTGAAGCTCAAGACTCATCTCTTTTCATCTTTCCAAGTTATTGGTAGTTTCTTTATGCAATTAGACTTTTGTGATTGTTATTCTAGTACCATGAGTGGCTAAACTCTCTATTTGGTTAACTTTGGCTAAAAACCCTTGAATGTTTGTGGGTTTTTGAAGGATTCATGTTTGATTATCAAATATCTCATGTTTATGATTCTAATTCATATTTCTTATGCTTGTTTGATACTTTGATCATGAGCTTGGTACTTGAATGAGCAATTGTTGGTTTATTTCTTTGGTTTTGCATTGAATCATTGAATTTACTTAGAACAAGAACTTTATGATGGTAGAAATCATCTCTAGCTTATGAATCATAGCTCCTTTATGGATGTGTAAGCATTGACATCCTCTAGGAATTGGGGATTCCTTCATTCTTAAGGCTAATTAACTTCTTAGGTTCAATTGCTTCAGTTGGATCTTTGATTTTGATTAAGAAGGTGTGTTGTGGGCTTCCCCAACCTCCATACTACCTATGAGGAATCTTGGCATATCATACTTCATGATTGCTATAACCAATTTGGGATGAATAATAAGCTTTGTATTGAATCCTAATGATAAACACACAAATGTTCATTGTGTTGAATTGCCTTGGTTAACCAATTATTCTCAACATTTGAGTATCTCACCATCTTGCTTAATTGCAAGATTTTTATTTATTCAAGTATTTTAGTTTTCAAGCAATCACAACACCCCCCCCCCCCCTTTAGTTTAATTGTAGTTAGTTAGTTTATTTACACTAGTTCTATTAGATTGCATTGGTGATTGAATACAACCATTTCCCCGAGGATCGATACCCCTTTTTACCATTATATTACGTTTTATTTGCAAACAAAGGGTGTAATTTGTTTGGTGGACTTGACATCCCACCAAAAATATTGCATAGTTTTATAACATAAAACTTATACATATAATATTGGTTTCGTTTTTTGTTTGTTATACCTTTTTCGGGGTATAATATTAGGATAATTTGAGAAGGAAACGAACTTTCAACTTTGTTCAAGTTTAGTCATTAAACTTTTTTTCATTATCTATTTGCCACTGAACTATTGAAACTGTTCACATTTTACCCTTATGACCGGCTACTGGTCATAAGGGTAAAATGTGAACAGTTTCAATAGTTCAGTGGCAAATAGACAATGAAAAAAAGTTTAGTGACTAAATGTGAACAAAGACGAAAGTCCATTACCCTTTCAAGTCATTATCTCTATTTTTAATATGTGAAAATAGATAAGAACACACTATAGAAAAATAAAAACGTGGATGATATACCCCTTTTTAGTATGTCTGTCGCCTCCTTTTTATAGAACCAAAACATTTGATGATGTGTTCATTTAGAAGATAAGAAGATATCTTGAGTATTGTTACTCCATTCTTCCACTTTCTTCCACTTGCTTCTTGCCGAATATCAATCGATCATTGTTTCTTTTTTATTTCTTCTTTGCTTGCTATGAGATGAAGGAGCAAAGGTCAATCATTCGTAATGTCATTTCCTGTTTTATCTTTTGTTGTTGTATAAATGAGAAAAATCCACCATCATTTATTTTATCTTTCTTCTTTATCTCGTCTGAAAAGGCAAATGAGAGGGGCTAGCTTGGTACGTTTTCCATGGGATAAAAAGACATGTAAGATAGAAGCACGGGGATATGGAAAAGAAAATACACAGTAAGGTTAATAATAGGTTTGCATGGGATGGGATGTGTCTAGGGTTCTAGGGGTGAATTTACTATACTAAAAACAACTTGACATATAATTTTTTTTTTTTATGTTGGACGAAAATTTAAGAGAGTTGGGTTGGTATGGTTTTAATTTAAATCTCCGATTCAACTCTTTTTTATTTTTATTAGTACGTTGCTAAGCAAGCAGTGAGTATAAATTGGTTTTAATAAAATATGATGTTTAGTCTTAAAAATGAAAAGTTAAAATGATTGTTTATTCTTAAAAATAATGTTTAATAAAGAGGGACTAAAAGTACTTTTTTAAAAGTAAGAAGGATCTAAAATGAAAATCTATTTTAAATAAAAGGGCTAAAAGTTTAAATTTAAGGACAATGGCCGGTAGAAACAATTATAAGATGATACTTTTACAATTTCGAGATATACTAATTCGTTGAAATAACAGACCCATAGATAAATGCGTTGGGTTACCCAAATCAAATTCAAAAACAAAGAAACAAGAAATGTTACTGGTTATCTCATGTACGACGAAGATGAAGATGGAAATGGGGCAGAGCCGTCGATGGCGGAGGATGCCGGTGATTAGAAGTTTTCCCCGGTTCCTTGTTCCTTCGGATTGGCTACTTGCAACTTGGTAGAATTCGAATTTAAAGATGAGATGAATGTGCAATTTTTTTCCTTTCTCCTATCGAGCACAACAGCAATACTTCTTCTTCTATTTTTTTTTCTTTCTTCATCGATGTCCTGTGATTGTGATTGCAGATTGGGAGCTGTCCAGTGATTCAGCGAAGTAGCAAACGAGGATGAAGCGTCAAGGCGTCAAGCTACTAAGTGAGGGATTGAGTCGAGAAAACTTGCTTAACAAGTTCTAGAAGTCTAGAAACTGCAACATACCAAAAAAAGCCGTAAGACTCGCAATTGACATCCTTCCTCAATCTTGTCTCTATTCTCTATATCAGTATGTATATGTATATTATACGATTGATTCTGTGTATTAGTTTTTTCGTGGAGGAGGACGAATCGATCGTGATTTGTTTTTTTCTTCCTTTGCAATGGTGTCGACGACTACGACTGCGAGGGAACACGTGGAGGAGATACGGAGGAAAAAGTTCTCAATCGGTGGAGAACCGAATCCGTTAACGGAGGATCTTCATCAGGCTGTTAAGAATCTATCTGCAGAGCTTTACACAAAGGACATTCACTTTCTCATGGAACTAATCCAGGTATTTATTTATTTTACGTTTTTGCTTTTATTTCTTGACCTGGAATTACTTAAAAATCTATGAAATTTTTATAAAATTTTTTAGTCAAAAATGCAAAAATGGTCCCTTTGGTTTGTCATTTTTTGTGGATATGATCCAAACCTTTTGAAAATTGGATTTTTGGTCCTTATTGAGAGGTTTGTGTGTGGAGCAGGTCCCTGGAGTTAACCACCGTTTGTTTTTGGCTGTTAAACCCCTCACGTGCATTGCACATGAGGGCATAAATGTCTATTTACTCGAGAGGAAACGGATGAACCAAATTCATTGATGGAAGCTCCAGTGGTGGCTGATTTCACGAGGGGAGGGAAGGGTGTCGAGCTCCGGCGACCCTTGTGGGCTTAATCGTCGTCTGATCGGGAATGAGAAAACGAACGGGTCGATCGGTGAGCACATCACGAGAAGGGAAGGGACAGGGCAGATCGACGACGATTTCGGGGGTGTTTGATGCTATGGAGCCGACTAAGAGCACAGGGAAACTTAAGAGGGTCATCGCCTTCTTGATCGCCGACAAACCTCGACTCAGGTGGAGGTTCTTCGACTGCAAATGAAGAGGAAAGAGGGAGGGAGAACGACGGTATCAGGGGTGTTTTGGGGCGATGTTTGTCAGCAGGAGGAGGAAGGGTAGCTCCTCAATGGTTCACCACAAAACCGCCACTACCGGTGGTGCTTGGCTGGACCGAAGAGAGAAAGAAGAATGGAAATAGTGGGGGGTCTCGTCGGTCTTGGTGGTATTCTATGACAGCGAGGGAGGCCGAGGGTGGGTTGAGAGGGTTGTGGCGGGTTTAATCTAGTTATTTCTTCCCTTTCTTTTCCGGTCACAATAATGGAAGGAAGATGGTGGTGGAGCTGTGCGAGACGACCGGTGGTGTTGGGGTTGCTGTGTGGTCGGAAGGGAAAGGGGGATTCCATGAAGCTCCTTCTTGTTTTGTTGTAGGTATACACAAGAGCGAGAACCAATTTGTTCTTGGTTGGGAATGAAGATGCAAACAGACACAAAGAATCAATCAATTTTTACTGTAAGGGTTTAATTGTTTTTGGTTGTTTGGATTGTTGATTTTATCATTGTTAGTTTGTGGTTGAGTGTTGTTTTGATTGAGTGTTGTATTGAGTTGAAGAAACTGTGCACATAAATTGTTCAATTGTGATGTGCAGGATTATTTTTGCCCATCGTTTCCTTTCGAGTAAAAAGACATTTATACGCTCGTGTGCAATGCACATGAGGGGTTTAACAGCCAAAAACAAACAGTGGTTAACTCCAGGACCTTTTCCACACTCCTCTCAATAAGGACCAAAAATCCAATTTTCAAAATGTTTGGACTATATCTACAAAAAATGACAAACCACAGGGACCATTTTTGCATTTTTGTCTATATTTTAACAAATATAAATTGGTTTATAGTTTTTGAAACAATCATGTTAACTTTATGATGCCTAGATTTATTCTAAGTAGAATGTTTGTTTCACATGTTAACTTTATGATGCCTAGATTTATTCTAAGTAGAATGCTTGTTTCACTTAACTCAGATGATAACGAGCAGGCCCCTTTTTTTTTTTTCCATAACTAACCCATAACTATTAAATTTTTACATATTACGTCTAAAACTAAAAAAATTGACTTTGACCCATCTGTTCTTCAGTTTTTATACATATTTTATTTTCGACCCCAAATCAACACTTGAAACTCCGTCAGAGTATCTAGAAGTGGTTGAACCTTCATTGGAATTTGTGATTACGTCAAAGGACATCACAAACACCGGAGCTCCGGCGACATTGTTAGTTTTTAACAACGAAAAAGGTTTTTCACCTAAGAATATCGAATCAATTTGTAGCGTCGGACGTTCTACTAAGAAAGGCATCCGTAATCGTGGTTATATAGTCGAGAAAGGTACGTCTGATTTTTAATTTTATTTTTTATAGTTACTCATTATTTTTCACATGCAACTAAGGCTGAGGGACTTTTGTTTTACTCTCAAAAGTCGATTCTCTTTCTCTCTCTTCTAAACTCCCCCATCTTCCCCAATAAGCTCCATTTTTCTTATGTTTTTAACCTAGCCGTCGGCTGTTTAAGGAGGAGCTGTCGGAGAGTCGGAGACAACCGGCCAACCACGAAAAACTGCTACGGGAGTCCGTCGCACCTCAGAACCTGGTATGTACTTTTTTCAGTACCTGGTATGTTTTTTTTGAAGTTTCTTTGGTTAAATATGTTGAATCGTTAAGATTGTTTATGTTAGATTGCTTTTAAATATGCTGATTCTTTGGGATTTTTAGAAATGTTGAAGTTTTTTTAGTTTTTTATTTGTGGGTGTTCGGATAGAAAGAAGAAAAAATCATAAGAGGTTCTTCTGGATTGTATTAAATTGTAATAAGAGGTTCTTTGGGATTGTTAAGAATGTTAATTATTTGATTATTTTACGAGAATATTTTAGTTATAAACATACTAGTTGTTTATAAACAGATTTAAACATATTAGTTATAAAAAGTTAACTCATATATTGAAAGGAAATAATAGGTGAAGCACATTTTTTATGCAGTATATACACGATTGTCAAATATGGTTATCTACATTTGTTTAATAATATTAACAAAAAAAATGGTTAATTACATTCTGTTTATTTTTTTTAACCAGAATTCTAATAAATTATGTTTTAAATTTGTATTTACAGGTTCAGTGACTATTTAACAAGGCTAATGGAAAGATTTCTAAAAAGAAAACCATCAACACGTGAAGCATCTTCATCCGGAAATATCTCTAATGAAATCCCCCAAAAAAAACCTAGCTCTATTCCATCAGTCCTGATTGAAAATGATATGATTCACATTTCTTGGGATCCAGCCGATAGAATTTTTTTTTTCACATTATCATCCTAATCAAAGAGATGAAATAAGGAGAAAATATCTAATTAGAGGACCTTCTCAACCGTGTGTTCATAAGTTTCCACCAAGAGTGATAGGAAAAGGAACAAGATACTTTAACCTGGTTTGGTTTAATGAATACACCGTGTCACCACCTCCTAATTTGTCATCCATTTTGCCAAAGTGCATTGACAGAAATACCCCCCATTAAGTCTTTCTCTTTCTTGAATATATGAACTGAAGTTGTGGCTTATTACGTTACTCCTACCCTTTTAGATATTGTGATGTGTTAGTTCATGTATTATTCTCTACATTATGAAATTATAGAAATTGTTTCCATACTCTGTTTTCCTTTTAATCATTTCATTCATCTTCAGTTTATCAAAAATCAAGACTCCTCAATGTTCTGATACATTGTCTATTAACTTGTCATCAGGAATTGGATTCAAGAGTGTCTTTTTGGTAACAACTCAGCCACACATTTTCAGTAATGGCTATCAGATCAAATTTAATGAAAAACCATGCCAGCAGTGCAAAGTTGGCTATATTGTTCCTGAATGGGTTGATGCGAATGATCCAATGCTATCTGCCATTAAAACCATATATGGTTCAGCTACTACCCTCCTATTGCCTACCACAACTCTAGTACTTCCTTTAAAGCCAGAGAAAGTCAAACCAGTCAAGGATCAGCTCTCAAGTCTCCATCCTGAACTTCTATTATTTCTTTCAAATATAATACGCCTTTCTGTCAGGGAGGAGGAGCCTAAGCTCAACACTGTAAACACAATATCGGTTATTAAAAATTGTTACTTCAAAGAGCACGGATGCTGATTCGTACACACTTCATCATACTACTGATGATGATATTGGAGGTGAAGTTGAGAGAGAATGTGGGTACTACTACTACATGTGGAAACAAAGATTTCATGTGAAGCTGGAAAATAAAGTTGATGTTAGAAGAGAGGTAGAAGAACGGGTAATCACCCTGGCTTTTCCATATGGGAAAAGATTTGGTTCAAGTAGTTTGCCTGGTATCTATTCGTTTTTACCAATGGGTACAATCACAAATTTTCCATTCATAATTCAAGCAGATTTTCTATTGGCTTCACCAAGAAGACGTTTACATACAACTTCTGTTATTCATCGCACAAAGTTGGGGGTCTTGTTTTTACAAGACCAACATGAAGAATACACCATTGATCAAGTATGTTGGGAAGGATGGAAATGTTGGTTTAGTTACTCCTGTCTCTGCAGGTAGAAACAAGCTGCTGGCTGCAGATTGTGATCATATATCATGGTTGATTAATTGGAACACAGAGTTTGGATGTTCAACTGGTAAATTCTTTCTACCCAAAGTCACACAAGAAGGCATACAATTATGTTTGGGGAAGATTATAATACATGTGATTGTGAATGTGATTTGACCTATTTTTGTGATGTTACATCAGGTGAAAAGCTTGTTTTGTTTGTTAAAGCTTATGATATTCCAAATCTATCTCCCCCGAATGCTGCTATTCCTACTCTCTCTTCTCCTCTCACCAAAAGAAACACATTCTTGCTTCTAGCATGGGTTCGCAAGTTAAAAAAAACATCAGGGGTTGGTATTAATTTACCAGAAAGGTTTTTATCTTCAATAAAAAATGGCAGCTGGTTGAAGATTTATTCGGGTGGAAGTCCCGGGTACGGCCCGCCCGCCGGGTCATTCATGCTAGTCTCAGACTCAACATCAATCGGGAACCTTGTACAGTATGCATCAGGTCTTGTACATTTTCCTGTGGTAGATGTGAAGTTTTATGGTGACGAGATAAAGAATTACAAAGATGAGTTAGAAACGATTGGTGTTAGGTTTGAGGACATGGACGCCTGTGAATTTATGGGTAAGCGTTTCATGGATCTTGCAGCTTCTTCTAAGCTTACCAAAGACAATGTCCTTTGGATGCTTAAGCTTATTAAGTATCTAGGAGGAGCGGATCCAAGAAGTGATTTGTTGATTAAAATTATGAGAGGAGAAAAATGGGTTAGAACAAGTCAAGGTGATATGACTCCTGGCAATTCTGCTTTGTTCAGTAAGGAGGAATGGCAAGCTGCTGCATGTATAAGTAACATCCCATTCATAGATGAAGACTACTATGGTGAAGAGATACTTTGTTTCAAGGATGAACTAGATCTTCTGGTGTGTATGTGAAGTTCAACCAAAATTATCAGCTTGTTGTGGACAACTTCAAGTCCAGATGTTCGCTTCTTTGTTTATCATCTGAAGCCATGTTATTGGTATTAAGTTGCATACAGAATTTTCAATCGCCGGATAAGCTGGTGAACGTGCTTCAATACCGTCCGTGCTTGATGACCAACTTGGGTTACAAGCCCCTATATGCATGTTCCTTGTTGAAACCAGAGTCTCAGTGGGGTTGCCTTCTTCAGGTCTTACAGCTATTGATCAACACTTTTATGGAAGCTCTATCTATTCTATGTCGAATGAATTAAAGAAAATCGGTGTCGTGGTGGACTTTGAGCATGCCATCAAAAGGTTTACTCAGTATTTCGAGTTCAATGCTAAATTATCCAGCATCAAAAAAGAACACGTCCTTTCGTTTCTGAAATGTTATAGACAGTTAAAGAAACTGAAACTAGAAATTCCTGAGGATTTGAACAACTGCGTACGCAAAGAGAAATGGCTACGAACAAGGCTTGATGACTACTGCAGATCACCAACTGAGTGCATTCTTTTTAGTGCAGATTGGGAACAAATTACTCCAATCTGTTCACCGCTTCCGTTCATTGACGACTTGTATGTAAGTGAAATCCATGAGTATCATGAGGAGCTGAACAAGTTTGGTGTTGTTACAGATTTCAAAAATTGTGCTGAGTTTTTGGCTCATGGCCTTGTCTTGCCTCAAGATTCCAGTACCCTTACTCCTGAAATTCTCTACACCTTGCTTCAATCTGTCAAGGAACTGAAAGGGAAAGACACGATTCTTGGAAAATTTCGAGAAAAACTGTCTCAAAAGAATTGGTTGAAAACCCGTTTTGGCTACAAACGCCCCGACGAGTGTTTGCTCTTCTCTTCTGACTGGAATCCTTTCTTGAAATGCAATGATGGGCCTTTCATTGATGAAGGATTCTATGGATCCACCATCGCATCCTACAAACATGAGCTCAGTCTTTTAGGAGTTATCACTAATGTTGCTAACAAGGAGGGGTGCCAGCTGATCGTTAATCACATCGAATGCCACTCCAATTCTGAAACTATTTCTCGAATCTATCATTACTTGTCTACATTTAAGTGGGAGCCTGTTGACCAAGTCAACACAAGGATATGGATCCCAAGGGGAACCACCAACAACAACAGAGAATGGGTAATGCATCAACACTGTGTCCTCCATGACAAAAACAATCTATTTGGCGAACAATTAAACATTCTGGAGAATTCCAAGTATGACAAGGAAACCCTCGACATGTTTGCAAATACTTTGAATGTGAAACTTCATCCCTTGGTTGAAGACTACTGCAAGCTGTGGAAGACATGGGAAACTTCACGACGCCAGATAACACTCCATGAAAGCTGTGCCTTTTGGGAGTTTGTGGTTCAAAATTGGTATCCAGAAACAGAAGAGACTTTCAGTAACAACTTATTGAAAATCCCTGTTTTGGATCCTAATTCGAATGGAATTTTTCTGTTTGACAAACATGACCTCTTTGTTGCGGATGACCTTTTCTTGACTGATCTCTTTCTTCGAAGCTGCTGCTGCTCTCGTCCCATATTTGCATGGTTTCCTCAGCCAAGTGTAAAATCTCTCATAACCCGAACCAAGTTTGTGGACATCTACACAAAACTTGGTCTTCGGAGGTTGTCTCAATCTGCACAGAAAAATATTATATTTGATACAGATCATGATGCTGGATCCAAGCCACTCAATTTGAAAGAAAAGATAATCAAAAAGGGGTTGCTGAAACTCATCCTTGCCTTTCTTGCTGATCCTAATCTTAAACTTGATCTGTGTAAAAGACATGAAGCTGTGACCCGTGTACTTGCGCTTGAAGCTTTTGAGTCGCCGGAAAAGATGAAGGTCCGATACAGGTTGACTTTTTCAAGTGGAGATGTGGTGGATGTGGAACCAAGGAGAATGATCCGTTGGGACAAACAGCACTCCAAATTGTATATGCAGAAGAAGATCGACTCTGATCATAAATATGCAATCGAATATGCATCTCATTTTGCAGAGGAAATAGCAGAGGGGGTGTTGTTGGAGAAGGAACAACTTGTGCAGGATCTGTCTGAACTGATCCGGTTGGGTTATCTTCTGGATTTTGATGAGGAAGCAGTTGAGTTCCTCATGAAGACCAAGAATCTACAGATCTTTGTGGAGGATCAAGACTTCCTTTCTTCTGCATTCTCCTCTTCAAAGGTATTGATTGTTGTATTTCATTGATGCATCACATTAATTAACAATTCCTTTTACAAATAATAAAAAATTGAAGTTTGGTGTCGTGTACTGTAGGGGAAGAGGCGGAGGCATAATTCTGCCGCTTTTCCCCATTCATACGAGTTACCAAGTACCAAGCGTCCAAGACCCCTCCTTTAAATCAGTAAGTATTTAGATTGATTTATAGGAACTTGATTTTACTTTTTTTTTTTTTTTTTTTTTTTTTTTTTTTTTATAATTATCAAGTCATTTCACCTTAAGTATTCAACAGTTAGCCCATTAAGCAACTTGTTACGTAGGTCACTGGTTACCCCTAGGTTAATTATTCAACATTTGGTTGACATGAATGCCGATTCAGACCAACATTGCTATTTCTTGCCGATAGTATATTTGCCTACAAATTTTTACATTTATTATGTTTTAACTGCAGGGAAACAACGAAAACCATAAATCAGACGTGTATGGTGGGATGACAAGCTTTTGGGGATGATTGATGCCTAAAAGCTGATCGACAAGCTTTTTGGGATGATATTTATCTGATGATTCTAAATATACCCCTACAATAAAATATTCATATCTGCCTCCTATCTATATAACTAGTTTAACCGATAAATGAATAATCGTTAATGTTTGTATAATATAATTGTCTATACAATTGATGATGTATTACATGGTGTCAAATAAACAATAGTTACTTGAAATGTGGATGTAAAAACAATGAACCAGTTTTAATTTATTTTGTAGCATTATATTTCCTTTTGTTTCTATTATAACATTCTACTATGACAAAATCTATTCGATTATAGTCATATCATTAAGATAAAGTTGTTTATTTTTTTTAGTACACACTGCATACAGAGAAATATACACTTAGTGATGTGTCTATTTTTATTATACCATCCTACTTTCAGGTACATAATTTTTTTATTTATTTTTATTATTTTATTTTTATAACTTAAATATAGTACCTGCAAAAAAATTACCAAACAATTGTAATTTTTAACTTTGTAAATTATTTAGATAAATAACAAAAAACATTTCTTACAAAAAGACATAAAACACATCAATTAATAAAAATAATTTGAAAACTAGGAAAGAAATGCAGGGTACAAAACAATGTAATAAAACACATTAAGGGTCTGTTTGATTTACCTGGGTCAAGTAAGAGGTTACCTCTTACTCTCTTCGGTAAGAATGTTTATACAGCAAATATAGACTCTTACCAGGTCCACAACATCTTATAGAGTCCACAGAAAAAACACGTTGACCGAGAAAGAAAAGTGTCTGTTCTTGTATTTCCCCTTCTCATTCTCACGGTTTCCTTCTCCTTGCCTACCCCTTACATCTGCAAGGGCAAACCGATATATGCATCACTCTTGTCTCCTTCAAAACGTCGCCTTCGCCGTCCTCGTCCAGCGCCGACGTATCCACCGACGCCACCTCCTCCTCCTTCCCCACATCCTTCGGTATGTCTCTTCTTCTCTCAGTCGATCTATGATTTAAATTATTACATCGATTCACTCTTAATCTCTTCTCACTGCTCGCTCATCTCTTCTCATTGCTCATTCAGTTTGAACAAGACTAACATCTTCCTTATTCTTAGAAGCATCCTAATTATATTAAGACAAACCAAATTTAAGACACATAATATATATAAATTATACACAACTAAAACAATAATTACCATGATTGATGATATCATTTCAATACGTGGTCCTTATAAAAGTTCTGCTAATAGTTCCCATACAAACAAAGACGCATAAATACAAACACACACACACACACACACATATATATATATATATATATATATATATATATATATATATATATATATATATATATATATATATATAACATTTGATAAAATTTTCATAACGTATTCATCAATCGTATAACCAATAAGAGGAATGACATCTTCGCTGAAAAGAACACATGTAATATCTTCTTGTTTATCAAGCACTCACAAAGCCAACTTATACCTATATAAATAATGTTGATAAGAATAACATATAGAAAAAAATGTAAATAAAAAATACTTACACTTGACACAGATTATTAATATCTTTCTGACAGTTGAAACAAAAATAACAACCATCATGCAAAGTAACCTTCTTACGACATGTTGTAAATTGGACAAATATCCGATCATTAAGCATATCTATGACATAAGGCATATTTATATGTATTTTTACGTATTTATGTATTTTTTAAGTTTTTTATATAGATGTTTAGGTATTTTAAATGTATAAACGTATTTTTTTTTATGTATTTATATGTATTTTAAAGTATTTTACATATTTTTTATGTAAATTATACAAATACGTAAAAATATATATAAATACGTAAAAAATACGTTTAGACATTATATACAAATTTTGACGAAATCTGCAGAAAAGTCCCATTATTTTCGAAAAATTAACAATTTGGTTCCATTACCCGCTGAGTAGGTCAAAAAGGGCAAAAATGTGAACAAATTAGCCGGTTTCTTGGGCTTTTCTATTCAAAAAGTGAAAAACTCAGGATTTTTTGTTCAAAAAATAAAATTTATGACTTTATTAAAAAAATTCCCTAAATATTGAGACTTTTCTGGAGATATCCCATATAGTAAGTATAGAGCATAAGAAGTCCAAACAAAAACAACTCTATTAGAATACTTTTTAATGTTGAAACACCTAAGTAACATTGTTTTCTAATAGAAAGAACCTCTAAAATTACACACTTTGCAAGAAGTGAGAATGACAACTATATTATCATTGTAACTTCGTACATGTTAATCATTTTATATTGTAGCCAAATCTCCCCATATTGCTAGATTGAGTTTCAGACCACTGCATGTTATTATTCAAATGCCAATCAATAAATAATATATGTTACAAAATATATTGTATATAAACGTTATGCTCAACATACCTTTCATCAGATATAACTATTTTTTTGAATTTATGAATTATAAAAACGAACATTTCCAATTATTTTCTCAAGATAACTCCGGTCACAGAGATGTCCAATAACATCTGCAAATAATTATGGATTTAACAATATATTTATCTGACTAATAAAAAAGTAAATAACTAAAATGTTAACCTGTTAGATATTTATCATCATGAACACGAGAAGAAAGAATGTGGAACGGAATGAAAATCGAACGAATATCGTTTAAACACCAACGAAGGTGAGAGTCTGAAACTGGTGTATCAGATAACAACCCAACGAATATGTCATTTTTTAACGGTTGGTATAATGTCTTATATTCCAAAACTACAAACTTATGCATCTTATAAATGCGTCCTTGATGTATTACTTTTATGTAACACCTGTTCCAGGTATCATTTTATTTTTCCTAGTTTTAGGGTTTTATGCTAGGAATCGACGAGTTGGGGAGCTCCAAATCGTCGAGTAGAGATCATTATGAGGACGCAGGATTTAGACCCTACTCGACGAGTCGGAAGGCCCCAACTCGACGAGTAGGCACTGTAAAGGAAAACCCTAATTTTTAGGGTTTGCACCCTATATAAAGGACTTAATCCGCCTCTTGTGGCCTCCCTTACCACTCCATTACCCAGAGAAGAAACCCTAGCCGTTCTTTGCTGTTCATTTGTGCTTGAGAGGCTAAGAGAGTGTTTTTGGTGCACTTTATTGAAGGAGTTTGGGGGTTGAGAAGCTTGAAACGGGAAGGAGATTGTAGATCCAGCACCTACTTGTTGTGAGCACCCATTTAGAGGTAAAAAGTTGCTACCTTGATCTCTGTTTACTTAGATCTCATATTATGGAAGAATATGGTCACTTTTAGTGCAAAAATGGTGTCATATTCAGATTTGGACTTGTCATGAGGTTATGGTTCGGATTTGGACTTGTCATGAGGTTATGGTTCCAGATCTGGACACCTCTAGGTCTTTCATGACATAAAGTTGCTTCCTTTACCTAGTCTAATCCCTTTTCCATGTCCTAAGTGTTGTTTGAACCCTAATTTTAGTGTTTTAGCAACTTTACGTGGTAACTACACCATAAGAGGTTGGATCTGTAATATGGAACCTTGGATTCCACTGGAAAGGACTGAACACAAAAAGGACTGAAGGGACTCGACGAGTTACTTAGCCAACTCGACGAGTCGGGTAAGGTTTACCTGTTTTCGAGACTCTGAATGATTGTGAGGAAGGATTAGAGTTTTCGGTCTATAGGAGTTTTCAGTCTTTTGAACATTAAGGAACTCGGCGAGTTACTCAGGTAACTCGGCGAGTTAATGAGTTACTCAGGTAACTCGGCGAGTTGTTGGATGCACTCGACGAGTTGGGGTCAACATGGACTGTTGACCTTGGCTGTTGACCTTGACTTTGACCAGGTTGACCAGAGTTGACTTTGAGAGTATTTATGGTATTCCGGGATTGTGACGAGTTAATCACATGATGCTCATAGGCAGCTGAGTTGGAGCTATGCGTTGGGCTTATTGGATCTTATCTTGTCAATTCAACATTCACGAGAGGTGAGTCTCCTCACCATACCAATGGGTCTAAGGCACCAAGGCCGACCCATTTAGCTAGTTGTAGTGTTATTGTAGATTCACTATTGGTATGTTGGTATGCATGAATTATGAGAACGTGCTAGTACTTATTGACTGGATATGTGAAGACCTCGGGGGGGAGCCCATGGTAGCTGGATAAGACCATGAGGGGGAGCCCATGGCAAGTACTTAAGACCATGGAAAGTAGGTATAAGACCCTGGGAGGAGCCCACGACATCCTTATACGTTTGTATGCATGGCTTATGTGGTTTATGTAGCTTTTATAGCTAATATTATTATGTGATTATGTGATTGTGCGGGGTATGCTCTGGGGAACTCACTAAGAATTAACTTACAGTTTGTGGATTTGTTTCAGGTACATCTGAGTCTATGGGCAAGGGCAATGGCAAGGTTTGATAACTCGACATGCACTCTCTCTCAAGCATTTTTATGGGAGACTCTGATATTTGGAATAATGTTGTTAATGTTATGAATTTGGGAACAAATGTTCTTGAGATTTGATGGTTTATTGGAAATGTTTTGACTATTTAAAAATGAAACATTTCTTTTGAAAATCGGGTCGTTACATTTTAGCTACTAGTTTTATATTTATAAATTCCTATCGAATCTCAACCAGTTTTAAACACCAATAAGTAGTGTACCTAGCCATGAAGTAATATAGTTTAAGGTAAGAAATGGTGTCAAACTCTCGAGGAACATATATGATTTTAATTCAGAAAAACAAAGTGAATAATTAAACTAAAGGCATAAAAGTAAAGAGGGGGGGGGGGTTGTTTAAAATAATTACACTTGTTTTAACACTTACATAAAGCAAACAAAAGCAAATAACTTGTTTTAAACAATAGATTTGAAGTACTTCCACATAGAATCTGAATTCCCCTAGTTTCTATGTTTGGTTTGTTAGAAGTGCAATGGATTAATGAGTTGGTTACCGAGTTTTATAATGACTAGTTATCTTGATCAAATGTCCTAGTACTAATAACTAATTAACAACTAACACAATGATCATGTAATTAGTGAACATATAATCAATTAAACATATTCGAATTTTGAAAGATATGATCTAGTGATTTCTTATCAATTGTCATGATAATTAATCAAAGCATAACATGAATATCTAATGCTCTCTAACACAGTCAAAGTTAATAGTTAATATTATCTAACCCTAGGATTGGATCGATCTCTAGTCCTAACAGTTTATGATAATAAATCAGTTAAGATT